AATAGTTGCATTTTTTATATAAATCTCAACTTTTATTGTGTTTTCTTTCTTACGCGTATCAAGAAGTTCAGCTTTAAAGCAAAATAACACCTAACCCAGTTCTAAATAAAACCTTATATCCTAGGCTTTCAGTTTTTACAATTTATCACTAAATTAGAAGTGACACAGCATCTATTTCAAATTAAATGATATCCGATCTAAATCCATTCCATATGTCAGTGTAATTGCGTCCACTTAATCTAATTTCCTAAATCACTTGACCGCTTAAACCGATCTCCCCTATAGTTGCTTTTTCGCTAAAACCATTTAATTAATTATAGAATTTAATTATCAATGACACATTTACGCTTCGTGTAGTACTCAACAATTGAGAAAATTATTTTATAAATGGTCTTTAGTGATAAATGGAAAACAAATTAAATTTCACTGAGGTAAAGGATTTTGTCCTAATAAGGTAAATGATATATCATTTTATATCAATTTATTCAATAATTTGTTTTATTGTAAGATCAAAGTTTGAATGAGTCTATGAATTTTTATTCTTAAGAATCTGTGTATAATAAAATGAAAAAAAAAATCCTTTGGCGAAAAAATTGCAGAAAACTAGACATATAGCCTGATAAAATGCACTAATATTTTTTGTTAATGTTTGAGGATATTTTTTAACGCTCAGATTGAGTTGATAATCACAGTTTATTTATTAAGAAGTTAAAAATCTGTTTAAAAAATATTATGAATTTAGGTCTAATAGTTTTGGAGTCATTGGACTTTCAAATTTAGCAGTATTCAAAAATGATTAAGAAAAAGTTTCTATAATTTTAACGATTGTTAGGCATCTAGAATATAGAAGAGATTCAAATAAATATTTGAATAATTGCCTTTTGGTCTAAAATAATGACAAATAACATTTCTGTCAGTACTTCTATCTGTTGGCGACAAAAATCGAAATTAATAAAATAATCAAAAAAGCAAATTTTTATAAAAAAAACTGTTTGCTTGAATTAAGCTAAAAATTTTGTGGCTATTTATTGCGAAATCAGATTCTGCTACTAAAATATTATAAATGTAGAACCAGAAGATTTTGAGTCATGGAACTTCAGAATATAGCAGTTTTTGAAAATTGTAAAATACTTACTTTGTCAACTTTTTGGCATTTACAGCATAGAGGAAGTTTGAATGAAAATTTCGCTAAAATATAGACAAAAAGCATTAGTTTTAATTTAGGCTAAAATAATGACAAAAAACATTTTTGTCCTTATTTTTATTCATTGGTAAAAAAAGATGCAAAAGTAGCCTGATTAAATTCACTAAATATTTTGTCCAATTTTTGTCAAAAAAATCTTCTTGCTAATAATAATAAAATTGATATTATAAATTGTAAATAGTATTTAAAATTAAGCTTGAAGAACAGTTTTTAATCTTTATGTAATTTTTCTTCTTGATACTGGATGTATGCTTTTCCTGTAACAAATGGTTTTGTCCTTAAGTATTTATCTTTTACCATCATATATATGTATATATATATATATATATATGTATATATGAAAAGTATTTTTCTGGCATTTGCATTTGCATTTATAAGAGAATTCTAGCTTTTGAAATATATCATTTCCTGGTATTCATATTTTTGCATAATATTACGTGTGCAATTTTTGTCTTCTGTACGAGTTTGCAGATAAAAACTTATGTAAATATTTATTATATTTTTAAGTTATTTCTTTTTTAATTTTATATCATCTGTTTACTTTTTATTTACGAATTTGGTTCGGAATCTATTAGAAGTCTAGAATTACGATTCTAGTAATTTTAATTTTCCATTACTTGAATTTTTATAAGTGCTTCAACAAAGTGATTTCTTTTATATCAATTTAATTTGCTCTGAAATCCAATCATGCCAATCTATAGAATTGGTTCCTGTGAAACCTTACAATCTAAATGCTTTGTAATACTCAGAAATTGATTAATTATCAATAATACTCGTTTTGATTTCATACAAATAATGCTTGTGCAACTGGAATGCATTTATTGATGGTAATTGATTCGTATGCTGTAATATTACTGATGTATTGTTCCCATATAATTCTGCTAGGAAACTAATCAAAAACAATTAATTAATTTGATTCGATGCAATTTTAGTGCCGATTGTTCAAAATTCATAATTTCGTAACAAAGTTTGCATGGTAATGAGGATTGATTTGACCTATCCTAATTATATAATATTTATATTATAAATAAATATATACATATATATATATATATATATATATATATATATATATTTTACTAAAATTAAAAAAGACTTATACCTTATACAATATATAATTACTTTAACAAAAATAGAACTTCAATGAAAAATCGAGAACGCCATGGAAAATTTATTAACAGGGCTGCAAATGACTGATATTGTATGCCAGATTTGTAAAGATCTAAAAATAGCTTGAATTAAAAATTTAATATATAAAATTGTTCCTGAGAGTAGAATCATTCATATAACATGCATATCTATTCTATTTTTAAAATATTGAGTTTTCTTGTGAAAAACAAAATTTCAGATTTTATCACCCTGTTTCTTTTTCATATCGTTAAAATTAAATGAAATATAGATCATACAATAAAACATAATATAGAATTCATGACACGTAAATAATATTCCATTAATTATGAAACTATGAGAATTATTTTTAATCCATCCCGATATAAATTTGATGTACATTGTAATTAAAACGAGGAAATGTGTGCAGAATATAAATTGATGTTAAAGTGGTACATTAAAATTATTGATGTTTTTGGAAATAACAATAAAAATAATACCTGATATTTTAATAGCTTGTATTGAAATATTTTGTGGAGATGGAAATTAATTTTGTTTAAAAAATAGATATCAATAGATAGGCTTCTGATGTTGAAAAATTACTACCAACAAAAATTTTTCTAGTATTTTGAATATTCAGTAACGTCTTGGATTATGTAATGTATAATATCAAATAAGGTTAAATATGCAAGTTTGTAAAATTTAATAATTACGTAACACTCAATCAAACTTTTTCATTTTATTCAAGAACGTACACTGATGACTGAACATATTTAGTATATACTAAATTTAATTAATTTCTAAATTGATATTCTAATTAATTTATCAAAAAATAATTTTTTGCAAACATAATTATTATTTTGATATAGAGGACACGATAATAATATATATAAATCTTGAATCTCCAAATATGCAAATTCAATCTAAATGACATCAGTTTCAGATTAGTCCCATTCGTTGCACTGGGTAAACCATCCATATAATTTGTGTTAGTCTCCACTTACTACTTATATATCACATACTTTCACATTTACAATGTGTTATGTTTTATACTAAAAATTTTCCAGAAATATTATGGCTAAACAACTTTTGGCGGGCCAGCTAATATATATATATAATAAAGGTATTCTTTAAATTGGATATTTTATTTTTTTTTGCTTCCAGCGGCTCAAATGTTTCCAAAATGATAAAAAAAATCTAAAAAATTTAGCTCTTAATATTGACTTTTTGATAGTCGTTTAAAGTTTTTTTTATGGAAATAAGGGTAAAATTCCATTTGTTTTTTAGAATCATATAATTTAAAAAAAATTCAAAATTTTCAAAAAAATCAAAACAAAAAAAACAAATTTTTCAAAAAGTAAAATTTTTTCACAAATTTCAAAATTTCTCAAAAATCCAATTTTTTCAAAGATTTGAACAAATCCCAAAGTTTTTTTAAACTTTTCGGTACAAGAAGTTTCTGCAATTCGCCTTAAGGCACGATGCCATGCACCACTAGTTTTGTATCAATTTGGAAGAAATTGAGTCTCTGGGAGCAAAAAAAATTGAAAACATCCATATTAGGGACCACCTTAATGTATATATAAAATTAGATAAAAAAATTGTAAAATTCTA